CAAGAAAAGAGTATCTACAATAACAAGGGTATCGATTCAGGTATCATTATTGAGAATGCTAACACACTTTTTTTTTCTCATTTATAGCTAAGTTATACAGGGTGAAAAAATAGATTTAATGATCTGCTTGTGCAAGAAACTCATGATGAAAGACTCGAACGTCTCCTAATTCACACCTATGATGATCGTATCGAGCAATGCCAAATAGATTGAAGCATGGAAAATACAAAACTTGTTGATTTAAAGAAAGGATCTCTTCATTCAATGGAAGATTATATAAATGCACTTACATCTTTAATAGATGTTCCTGAAGCAGATGCATATATGAAGACACAAGTTTTAGTAGCGCCTATAGATTATCCTAGACAACTTTATATACGGCGTGCTATTACTCATCTCCTTAAATTTGGAGATTCTTCTGGAATACCGGAACAGATTTTATATGTCATTCTGATGATTGGATCTTTACATGTATCCTTGAATAGTTGTGAGACCGTTTTTCTTCTAAATTACGATTTTTTTGATTTAAGTTTTCATGCAGTTTTTGGACGTAATAAGATACTGGCAAAAAAGCCAAAACTTTATAAAATTAATTTACTTTTGGAATTAATATACCAGGGATGGTCTCGAGTTCATTCTATAGTAATGCAAAAATTCAAATATTCTAAAGACCCTGAAGCCCGATATCTCATTAATTTATTAGACAATATTGTACTGTTGGTTTTAGATTTCTATCCTATTATATTTCGCAGCAGAAATTGGGAAGCATACATAGAAGCAATGTTTCGCATCTGGATGGTTTTTTATCAATACCAACGAAGACACTATAATAAACTTCTGTTGATGTTTTTGAGTGATGTTATTTACTGGTTCAGTACTAATCACCCTATTATACAAACTCTTACAGGTTCTATTCACGTATTTTATAATTATTATGTTGAGAATTTTCATAGCTCACTTCAGCGACAGATACATGAATCAAACATGGTAGAACAGATTATTCAAGAAGCACGAATAATCGATCAAATGCGCAGAAACAATTCCTTTACAAATGCATTTTTTGAAAGGTCTTACAATTCTTCTTGATTCCACTTACGAGGTAATCAACGCAATATTGACATCAGCTTCCTAATTTAAATAAAAAACATTTGAAATGATAAGCATGACCACAAATTAGAATACAACCTACCTCGCAAGAATCCACGCAGCCTTCTAAGTCACAAAATCGATCATTATATAGAATATGTGTTGTATTCCAAGCCATTGGTAATATATCCAAACTGACTTGAGTTTTTAGCATTGGAAATTTATATGCTTTTGGCTTCGAGTGTGTTTCGGATGGAATAATTTTTGACTTACCAATGTTCCTATAAACATTTACAAAAA